AGCTGGATGCTATACTTAGGGTGATTCACTGGAACATAAATGGAATCGCTAGAGATGATAAGATAGATCATCTAGCAGAAGTTTTGCAGTCAGAAAATATAGATGTATGTTTCTTAGATGAGACTCATTTAACCTTGGGATCAAATGAGGATCTATCTGCTCTTGATTCTTTTACTTTGTATAACAAAGAAAGAGGACTTGGTTCTAAGAAAGGTGGGGGGAAATTGATAATTGTTCGTCCAGAATTAAACCATTCCCCCTGGGAGCCGGGGTTGGTTCTTCATCCTTATTTGAATGCTGAGCGCATGTGGCTCCTGGTTTATGAAAACAACAAAAAAATAGCATTTTGTACAGTATATTGTGCATCTGAAGTACAAGATGAAAGCTTTAAACAGTGGAATACGGATCTGTTAGATATGATTAAAACTGAGATAGAAACTATACGCAATGATGGGTATGAATGCATAGTCCTTGGGGACCTGAATGGTCATGTTGGGTGTGATGAAAGGGGTATTCCAGGAAATCGACCAGATATTAATTTCAATGGGGGATTAATTCGTGATTTTGTAGAGGCTTCTAGTATGGTTATAGTAAATGCTGATCAGCAAAAATGCTCAGGGGTATTTACCAGAGTTACTGCCAACTCCCAAACTTGTATTGATTATGTCCTATGTGACAGCAATACAGCTGAGCTAATTGACAATATGATAATTGATGTCAACAACGAAACGCTATGGGGCAGTGATCACTCAGCAATATTAGTAAAAGTAAATCTGGGGATGTTTGTTAACGAGATACCAACACTTAAGGAGCAAAAATTAAAAAGCCCTACCCAAAAAACTAACCATAGGTATTCTAAACATTTAGACGAGATCATAAAAACCAAAAACTGGGAGAATCAAAGCATTGATAAATGTTGTGAGCAACTTATAGAGTGCATAAAAACTGCTTCAGCTGCTCTGCCTCAGCCAATGTTCAATCAAAATTCTAGAAGAAGCGTCAATAATAAGTCGATACGCCGGTTACGTGTCAGGTGTATTATGTTAGAGTCGAACATTAGAGAAAGAACAAGTGTTTGCCACTCTCATGGAATTCGACCTAATTCAGATGGTCTCCTCCAGGATGACATTAAAAAGGCAAAACAGCTTCGAATCCAGTACAAGGACAAAGTGGCAGACAAAAACGTCTGAAAAGAATAAAACTTCGGTGTTCCGTAAAGATTTATTCAAAGCAGTTCTGGAATCTAGTAAGGAAGGCAGAAAGAAAGTCTGGAAGCTTATCAGCTATAAAGGATGAGAATGGTGTGCTTTTTACAAACCTGGCATTGGTGGAGATGATTGTTTTGGAACAATTAGCTTTAATTTTTTCAGGTCAAAGATCACCAGTCTTTACCAATAGGAATGAGCAAATCATAAAGGAGGCCCAATCACGAAATGATAAGACATGGAAAGATTGGATCATATTTGAAGCTGACGCATGTGAGCATGAAGAGGAAGTTTGTGCCCCGGTCACTCTTGCTCAGGTTCAGCTTCTGATAAACCGCCTAAAAGATGAACGCTCTCCAGGGGTAGATGGTATCACCACTTCAATGTTAAAGTATGCAGGACAGGAAGCACTGTCAGTCATTACTAATATGTTCAACCAAATGCTTATTCAAGGTTTTGTCCCTGAGTGTCTACAGACGGGAAAAATGACCCTTATAGATAAAAAGCAACCTTCTCTATTGGTAACTGGTAAACGTCCCTTAACTGTGTCCAGCGTCCTTCTTAACTTGTTCACCAAGATAATACATCAACGGATGGACAAGATTTGTGAAGAAGAAGGGTTGTACGGTCCAGTCCAATATGGATTCAGGAAAGGGAAATCTACCTCGGATTGTGTCTTCGTTTTGCTGGCAGCTATAAGACGGGCCAAGAAAAAGAACCATACAATTTCCCTTGCTTTTTGCGACATAGCAAAAGCTTATGATTCTGTAGACAGAGAACTACTATACACTAAGCTAGATTCAGTTGGCTTTGGAGGTAGGGTGAAGTCCATCATCCAATCCATGTACTATAATGATTGTGTCAGAGTTAGGATTGGAGGAGGGTTATCAGCTCCTCTATGGTTCACAAGAGGTGTAAAACAAGGGTGTGTGCTGTCCCCTTTGCTATTCTCGCTGTACATCTCCGGGTTAGGTAAAGTTCTACACTCTCTAAAGGAGGGGGTTGGTTTCAATGGAGTAGTAGTTACTGCCCTTTTTTTTGCAGATGATCTTGTCTTAATTTCCAGAACAAAAGTCAGAGGTATGAACAAGCTCCTGAAAGTTGTTAATAAGTTCTGTCAGGATATGAACATGAAGTTAGCTGTTGACAAAACGGTTATACTATCCGCAGGTGCAAACAATACAATTTGGAAAGTTGATAACGATAGCCCAGATTTAGTAGCTTCTCTTGTGGCTAAATACCTAGGTGTGAGCTTAAGTATTAAAGGTAGGAATCTGATAAAAGCCAGAGAGGGAAAAATGATATCTAGTGCCCGTGCGTTCGCGCATACTATAATGGGACTAACACGGTCAGGATTGGACAGAGCTATAACAGCCCATAAGCTATGGGAACTATGTGCAATCCCTTCGATCCTGTATGCCTCAGAGGCTATGGTGGTGTCAGCAACTACTATCAAGGAATTAGATAGAATACAGAATAGCGTAGCTCGTTTTATTTTACAGCTACCCAGGTCAGCTTCTACTCTGGCAGGAGTACTTGATGCTGGGCTTATGCCCTTTGGGCAACGAATACACACCAGACAGGTCCTTTTCCGTCATGATTTGGCGATCAAGAACGGGGATGCTATTGTCAAACAAGTAGCTTCAGTTGTCTGCAATGATCCTACCGACATATGGACTTTGCAAACAAATGCTACTCTTTCCAAGCTGAATATAGGATCCTTACAGCTAGTTCGTAAAGGGACTCTGAGACAAAAGCTCAGGGATCTTCATATATCAGAGAACCTCAGCTGGAAAGCTGCCGTACCCTCGTTGTTGTGGATGCCAGACCCTGTAAGTTGGTTCTCATTGCAGCCCCACGTCAATGATTCTGATGAATTCAGAACTCTCAGTATGTTTCGAGCAGGGGATGCTGGTTTGGGAAACCGCAGACCTAATGTTCTTGGTGGATCCTACAAACATTGTCCTTGGTGTAAAGAGTTGGGTGCTACAGTGGCCCTAAATGAATTACATGTCGGAGTGGTGTGCCCAGGAGTAGCATTTGCCCGATTTGCTAAAGGAATAACTCAGTACATGGAGAGGCATGTATCTAATTCTCGACCCATAGGGATGATCTTCAAAGACTATTTAGGGGGTGATGGAGCCAACGCCCGTACAATGGCTGCCAGAGCCTCCAGTCTCACTACAGTTCTAGAAAATTGGATCTACTTAGTAGCTAGGTTGTAAACAGGTAATGTCTTTTCTCGTGTTAGTGCTGTTGTAGGCTGTTGGAGGATGCACATCAGAATCACTTTGTGATTCTGCCCGACCCACTGGTAGCATCTTCTCATCGGTAGTATGGGAGCCGGGGGGTGCCGGAGCTCATGGGAGGTAGCCCCGATGGCGGTCTGGGCTCTCCAAAATGGGGGGGTCTTCAGATCCTCTCTTATCTTATCTTATCTTATCTTATAAACCACCCAGGGGCCATGAAAGGTCCTAAACACAAATTTTCACTTTTATTTGGTCACCATTTTTTGGGCCAAATTAACAAATGTGCGGCCAAAGTGGTTTAAATCCCTTTTTTATGAAATATAAGAGACGAGTTTGAGACTGTTTAAACTTTAAAAGAACTGTTGGGACTGTTTAAAGGGACTGTTGGGATTGTTTAAAGGGACTGTTGGGATTGTTTAAAGGAACTGTTGGGATTGTTTAAAGGGGTTGTTGGGACTGTTTAAAGGGACTGTTGGGACTGTTTAAAGGAACTGTTGGGATTGTTTAAAGGGGTTGTTGGGACGTTTAAAGGGACTGTTGGGATTGTTTAAAGGAACTGTTGGGACTGTTTAAAGGGACTTTTGGGATTGTTTAAAGGGACTGTTGGGATTGCTTAAAGGAACTGTTGGGACTGTTTAAAGGAACTGTTGGGATTGTTTAAAGGGTCTGTTGGGACTGATTAAAGGAACTATTGGGACTGTTTAAAGAGACTTTTGGGATTGTTTAAAGGGACTGTTTGGATTTTTTAAAGGAACTGTTGAGACTGTTTAAAGGAGCTGTTGGGATTGTTTAAAGGAACTGATGAGATTGTTTAAAGGAACTGTTGAGATTGTTTAAAGGAACGGTTGAGAATTTTTGAAGGGATTGTTGGGACTGGTTAAAGGGATTGTTGTTATAATTTCAAGCGACTTCCCATGAAAACGAGGGGCCCATTTATCTAATTTGATCAATAACCAATAGTTTTAATTCTGACCAGAAAAACACTAAATGAGATTGAAAATATGTATTTGAACATGATTGAAAATTATCAATTACTAGCTTAAGGGCCCGGCATTGCCTGTAAAAAAAATTGAAATTTTTTTAAAAATTCAATTTTAGCCTGTGTCACCCCCAGTGTCCACTAAAAAAATCAGCCGTTTGGTCGGCCAGAGGAAACATATATATGAATGTCTTGTTTTATTACAAAGATAACAGTTATAAAGAAGATAACAGTTATATAGAAGATAACAGTTATATAGAAGATAACAGTTATATAGAAGATAACAGTTATAAAGAAGATAACAGTTATATAGAAGATAACAGTTATATAGAAGATAACAGTTATATAGAAGATAACAGTTATA